TGGAAATGTTCCAGGTAATAAATGTGAAAGAAATGATGTCAGAAAAAGAATTAGAGAAGAATCACTCCCTTGCCACCCATAGTGCAGTAATTGAGTCAGGCAATAGTCAGTGGATGAAGACACTGGGTGAGAGGCTGATGGGAAACTTCACAACGGAGGATTCAGACTAAACCCATGGATGCATCGTAGCCTGTCTCAAAGGTGGGACAGAACTTGTGCCTCCAGATGGATTGCAATATGCTGCCCACAGACCACTAATGAAGTAATCTTGCTATAGAGTTGAACCTGGATCTGATTAAGCCTCTCGGGTTTATTTCCATTTGTAGGTATTCAAGAAATCAAGGTAAAAGTTAAGTGACACTCCAAAGAAGAACATGGACTATCTTTGTTTGGATCTCCTAGAAGCACAGTTTGACACTAGGACTCTCATGCAAGTGCTCTCAAAGGAAACCTGCAAGGAAGTAAGGGGAGGGAGAGAACAAGGGAAGAAGTTAAGGAAATGAGTGCTGTCAGCTGAAGTCTAGACTCTGCCTAATCCCCTGGAAAGCTCTGGAGCGTGAACATCACTACAGTGTTGTCCCCTCTCAGGTCCAGGAGACTACATTTCAGCATCCCTGTATCAGTCAATCATGGCTGCAGGCCATGGTGAAGAGGGTGAGCTCCAGTTGGCCAAGAGCAATTTTCTAGAGACAGTTCTCCTGAGTAGAGGGCAGCTGTGAGCCCTTAGCAGCCAACATTCACTGCAGCCATACTGTCTCCCACAGTGGCTGCACCAAATTACAATCCCACCAACAGTGTAGGAAGGTTCCCTTTTCTCCACAGCCTCTCCAGCATCATTTGTGGATCACCATTCTGATCCATGTGAGGTGATACCTTATTGTAGTTTTGATTTGCATTTCTCTGATAACTAGCAATATTGAGCATCTTTTCATCAGCCATCTGTATGTCTTCTTTGGAGAAATGTCTGTATAGGTCTCTTAAGTCTGTTTTGAGGGACAGCAGTCTCCCTTTTATTTTCAATGACTTTATTTTATTTTTTATTTTCAATAACCTGCTGATACTGATCGTCCTGTATAATGGCTCTCAATCTGTTTGTCTGCATAGTAGATGGTGTTGCTGCCCCACCCAGATTCCCTTTACTGGCAGCCACTATGGAAAACAGTAGGGCGATTCCTCAAAAAACTCAAAATAAGAGTTACCTTATGATCCAGCAATCCTATTCCTGGGCATACATCCAGAGGAAACTCTAATTCAAAAACACATGCACCACAATGTTCACAGTAGGGCTTTTCATGATAGCCAAGACATGGAATCAACCTAAATGTCTGTCGACAAATGACTGGATAAAGAAGTTTGGTATACACACA